CTTTCGGGACGCCTGACCCGTGTGGAGGCCCTCGCGCGTTGGGGCATAGGAGGGCGGATGGGCTCACACTAACTTGTTTGTGATGGGTGCTTTACTGTTTACAGAAGCCGCTTGGGGGCCATCTTCAAGAGCCCGCAGGAATCCTTATGCCTCTCCCCCTCTACCAGCGGGGCGTTCTCGGCTGCGGCATGATGCGGTCGCACTGGCACTTGCAGCCGCGCGTGGTCAGCCCGTCTTTGTAGGCCCAACTCTTGCACCCTGCTTGTCATTCGCCCCCTACTATTTTGCGTGGGAAATTTGTACCATCGAGTTCCTCAGAAAACGCAGCCAGGTCAGGGGGTGAGGCGTGCTCTCACAAATGCAGCTGCCCCGCCCAAGCGGTGGCTGAGGCGGGGCCCAAGACCTTACCCACAATGCCTCAAGGCCCCCCTGCGTGACGGGGGTGGGGACCCACTCGGGTGCCCCTGGGCCGGGTGGGGCTGACGGGAGAGAGGGAGGGAGGGAGTGGGGAGGGAGGAGGAGAAGGAGGAGGAGGAGGAGGAGTGGCTGGGTCAGATTGACGCACGAACCAACAGCTGTAAGTAAGCTGTAAGGAAGAGGACGCAGAGAGGAAGCCCCAGGGAGGGGCCGCGGACGAGCGCAAGCCGCGTCGGCGCGCGAGCGCCGCGCGGCCCCGCGAGGTCGGTCTCACCCAGGCCGCCGCCGGCGGTGCCGCAGCAGGCCTCGGATCGGCCGCTCGGCCGAGCCTCGCGCTGCGCGCGCCCCTGCTTCCTGCCGCCTCCTCCTCCTCCTCCTCCTCCTCCTCCTCCTTCTCCTCCTCCCACCCTTCCTCCTTCCTCCTCCTCCTCCTCCTTCCTCCTCCGTCCTCCTTCCACCTTCCTCCTTCCTCTACCCTTCCTCTTCCTCCTTCCTCCTTCCTTTCCTTCCCCTTCCTCCTTCCTCCTTCCACCTTCCTCCTCCTTCCTCCACCTCCTCCTCCTCCTCCTCCTCCTCCTCCTCCTCCTCCTCCTCCTCCCCTCCCCTCCGCTCCCCTCCCCCCCCCTCCCCCTCCCCTCCCCCTCCCCCTCCCCACTCCCCCTCCTCCCCCTCCTTCCCTCTTCGCCCTCCTCCTCTTCTCCTTGTCCTCCTCCTTCTCCTCGTCCTCCTCCTCGTCCTCCTCCTCGTCCTCCTCCTCGTCCTCCTCCTCGTCCCTCCTCCTCGTCCTCCCCTCGTCCTCCTCCTCGTCCTCCTCCTCGTCCTCCTCCTCCCATCCTCCTCCTCTCCTCCTCCTCCCTCCTCCTCCTCCTCCTCCTCCTCCTCCCCTCCTCCTTATCCTCCTCCTCCTCCTCCTCATCTCCTCCTCCACTCCTTCCTCCTCCTCCCCCTCCCCCTCTCCCCCTCCTCCTCCTCTCCTCCTCCACCTCCTTCCTCCTCCTCTCCTCCTCCTCCTCCTCCTTCTCCTCATTTCCGTCCCCGCCAGCTGTCCACACGCATGTTTGGGCGGCAACGTCGGCCGATACCCCTCGTCCTCGTCCTCGTCCTCCTCCTCCTCCTCGTCCTCCTCCTCCCCTCCTCCTCTCTCCTCCTCCTCCTCCCTTCCTCCTCCTCCTCCTCCTCCTCCTCCTCCTTCCTTCCTTCCGACCGCTTCACGCGCGCCCTCGGGTCGGGCGGCGCGGCCGGCCGGGCCCCGCGGCGCGGCCCTCAAACATCGCGGGCTATGCCCACGGACCCCCCCTCCCTCGGGGCCGGGGGCCAGTCGGCTAGCGCCCGACGCCTGAGCGGGGGGCGCCCCACCTTGGGCCCCCCAGGGAGGGGTTGCCCGACGGCCCCCCCAGGTCATGGCGGAGTGCCGCGCGGGCAGGACCCCCGGCAGCCCCGCCGGGGGAGGCTGGGTTGCTGCCGGTGGGTACTCGGCCCGGTGCGGAAGGGCGACGATTGGACCGTTTCCAGATGGGCCAACGAACCGCAACGGGGGCGGGGGCCGGACGAACAAGGAACGGGGGAAGCGCAGGGCCCGGGGGCAGCGGGAGGGGGGAGCAGGGGGGGGGAGGCGAAGGCGAGGGAGAGGAGGGAGGGGAGGGGAGGGCGCACCCAAGAGAGGGCCGGGGGGCGACAGGGCCGAGGGGCGACGGGCCGGGGGAAGGCCCCAAAAGGGGGACCCAGGGCCCAGGGCGCAGGGGCCAGAACGGGGCCCAGGGGGTTCCTCGGGCCCGCGCCCTTCCGCTCCGGCTTAGTTCCTCGCGCTGCCGATCTGCGCCACGGCCTGCGCGACCACGGCGCACCGCAGCGGAGCGGCGCCCAGGGGGCCACGGCCAGCGTCGCCTGCCCGCTCAGACGCCCCGGGGCCGCCGGGGAGCCGCCGTCTCGAGGAGGTGTGCCTCCCTGGGCGTAAGGCCCGCCGCCGCGGCCGGTGTCTGGGGCTGGGGTTGGCGCCCGAGCGTCCCTGCGGCTCGGCTGCAGAACCCCAAGAGGTGGGTCGTCGTCTCCTGGGATTGGCTGCAGAACCGGCAGGGCGGCACCG